TATATATATATATATATATATATATATATATATATTCTAGCACTATATGCTAACTCTACAGCTCCACTATAGAGCTTATTTACAGATTTCAAACGCGCATCATGCAGTCATTGACGCCTGCTTTACAATATTTTCACACGTTTCGACACAAATTTTTGGGCGTCGGTCAAGTGTTCGAGCCATAAAGATTTAAAGAGAGGTCTAGGTCTAGTTCAAGGTCAGCAGCGGCTATTTACATGAATGTTGGTCAAGTCAAGGTGGGTGCAGATAAATGGTACAAGTTATTAACACAGCTGCGCCAAAATGGAAATGGAACTCGATAATTGAAAACAAAAGTCGGGTATTTGCATTTTTTTTTTTGTATATTTATAGATTGTTAAGTACATAAATTGTTGTTTTTGTTGAATACTCGAATTGTTGTTGCATTTATTGCAATTTTTTTGTTGCAGACGTTTAATATACTAAAAATCGAAGTAAAACAATTGAAGTATAAATTACAGAAATTGTTGTGTCTGTGTGTTGTGTGTGAGTTTTTCATGTCTGTTTTTCTTCTGATGGAATTTGTTTGGTTTTTTTTTTTTTTGTTATTTAATGCTAATAAGTGAAACTTTACAATAAAACAACTGCATATATATTTAAAGAGAGCTCAAGTAAGTTGATATTTGTGTTGTTGCTACTGTTTTTCCTCTGTTGCTGTTGTTGGTGTTGGTGTGGGGGTTGATTGCACAATAAAAGCATTTGTTTGGCTAATTCCATTTGTTTATTCAACTTTATTCAACGTTATTTGTTTTAGTAGTTAAGTAGCTGATGTGGCCTACAATTTGTAATTGATTTTGTATTTTGTATTTAAATAACATTTATTTCGTTGACCGTGCTAAAAGCTCTAAAGTGCTCAAAATTACGAATATCTGTGACTTTTGTTACTTTTACGAATACTCTGCTTTCTGTTGTTTTTATTTTTTTATTTTTATATATATATTGTATATGCTTTACTTTCAAAACTATCCACATAAAATTGCTATGCTGCTCTTTTGCTAATTGAAGCCAATGCCATAAACATCTATTCATATCGAGCTTATCATATATAGTATATATATATATATTATGTCTTTTGACCGTGTGTGTGTGTGTGTGTTTTGTTTTCTAGCAAATCATATTGTATCTACATTTGACTGCTCTGATAGTTAGTCCAGGGCAATAGCTCCTCAGATGTGCCATATGAACAAAATCTATGCTTTGCTTTATTAAGGTACCATATTCTTGTTGCTTTAAGTATTTCCAATCTATATATACTAAAACTAATATACATGTAAGTATGTGAGTTTACGATCTAGAAGTGGCTAGCAAGCAATTCTAAACTCTTTCTCAACTATTTTACAAGACATTGAAAGCGCTTTTGGCGTGACTCTAAATTTAATTATAATATTTTTTTTGTTAATTTGTAATTCATATCATTTTGGAATATCTCTCAAATCTTCAAGCTCTATTTGAATGTTTTAAATTACGCTTATTAAATGCATTAAATTTCAGTAATATTTTATTAATTCTTGTGCTAAAATCAGAGAGTTCTATTCTGTAACCAAAACTTTCGACATTCAACTCAAATTACGGCTTCTACTTATTAATTGCACACACATCAAATATTTAGTATTTTTTGGTTTGGAAATTATTTTGAATGCTCTTTGAACATTTTGGAAATTCAGAAATTTAAATTTTCAATATTTTTGCGAAGCTTCGGCTTAACCCGAAGTTATAATTCGATATTTTAGTTGATTTTTTATGTTTATCATATATATATATATAATAATACATATAATTTTTATTTAATTTGTATATATATATATTGTAGTTTATTATAGCTTGCTTTTGAATTTTTCAATGTTGGACGTATTTTCAAGTAAATATTCTTTTTTTTTGTTTTTTTTTTTTTGGTAGTTGATGCAAGTAGAAAACACAGTTCGAAAATATACATATGTATACCTAATATTTAATATATATTCATGCATATTAGTATATATATACTGGGGTCTGCCTGGCTGTTAGTCGATCCAGTATTTGGGTTACTTTTACTCTTCTTCTTCTTCAACTTCTTGAACTCAATATTTTGTAATTCGGTTTTGAATTTTGGTATCTAAGTGTAAATCGCTTGTTGTCGATTGTAGTTTTATAATTTTCTTTTGTTTTTGTTTTTTTCATATTTTGTTTTTATTGTTTGTAAATTGCAATTTATCTCAGACTCAGTTTGGAGTGTCTTGGATGTCTTGGTTGTTGGATGGATGGATACGTTTACGTACAAACGTTTCGTCAGCCGGTTTGCTGTTGTTTATCATTCCATATACATATTTCACTTTGCTGTTTTTTTTTTTTTTAATATATAGATTTATCTTAAACATAAAATTGAATATTTAACGCAATTATTGCTTCATTTTCATTTTGTTATTTTCACGTTGTTCACAATCTGTTGGACTAACGCAAGCCTTTCATTCTGTATCAGTGTTTGGTTAATGGTTCACAAACATAGTCGCACAACCTTTAACATTGATCGATATATGTAGATATATGTATATATAACTAATAATACTTAAATATTGCACATCGATTAGCAAATTAAGAGAGAGAATTGAAATAAACAAAAACGAAATGTGTATAGCAAAATGAAGTTTATTTAAATATACATATAAATGGAAAAAATTATAAATACATCACATCAAATAATACAATTAACATATATGCCAAGCTTCCTTCTTGTTCTCGAAAACAAGACACAAGATTAAGTCATTAAGTGTTTAATTGCTTAATCTTGAATCGCCTCTCTTGCAGCATACATGGAATCTGTTATTATATACTAATATTGTATTGGTTTCCTGTCGGTACACATATATTTATGTATATATATATATATAGATAAATGCGCTAAATAAAATGTGAGCTCAATCAAAAGGGAGATATACATATCTATATATTTATATATATATAGATAGAGAAAAAGTATTGCATGTCTGGTAAATCTTACAGCATAAATATTTATATACAACTGATTTAATATATTTTCAATACAGTCCATAACAATCAAAAATAAGCTCATAGTAGTATTAACCAAGTCACATTGATATATAGATCAAGATATACAAATATATAAAGTAAAGTTTCGTACATACAAAAAACAATTTAACTAAACTAGGCAATCAATTAATCAACCGGTACAAAAATATACGTACATATATATATATATATTAAAAAATATAAATATATAGTTTTAGAATCAAAGCAACAAAGATCAATTAACTATGATGAACGCAACCAATTGAATTGAAAAATAATAATCGTCATTAGGAAACATTCACGCAGACACGAACGAACATAATTATAAGCTACGATTTTAAACTAAGTGTCTATAGATCCAAAGTGTTTGTGGTATTGCACTTGGTTAATGCAACTACGCAAACGCTTCGCTTTGCTTAGTTAATCCATTAAGAGCGAGTCGAGCAGCTGGCAGAGGAGAAGCTCGGCCACTTATCTAATTTTGTTTTTCTTTTCGTTTCGGTTCGTTTCTTGCAATTGCTAGTTAGAGTCGCCGTGGACACCGTCGTATAACTCTACATATCAAGCGTCCGATTGGGTGTGCTGTGTGTGTGTGTATAACTGCGGCATATGGTGCAATTGATAGTTAAGTTAAGCTAGCGTGGTGTATGGATTGGTTAATGCTCCGCATTGTTTCGTTGCTGGACGATCTGGGAACGTTGGCGAGCTTAGAAGGCCGTCGAACGTCGATTCGCATAACACTTCTTGCCGTGGCTGTTCGCATCGGCAGCGCTGCTGGTTGCACGCAATCTGTGGCAGGTTGTAGGAGTTGCAGTCGTTGCTGTTGCTGCCACTGCAGTCGCATTCACTCCTTTGCTAACCAACGTCGATTGCCTGCAATTAGTCCAACGCTGCAGCTGATGCGAACATTTCGGATACAATCATTTGCGCGCTGACACATTTAGCGATTCGCCACGGCTCTTCGATCGCGTCATTGAGCCGCTCATCGAGGTGCTCATCTCTGCAAAATAGTTAGGGGTAAGTCAAGGCACTCATAGTCATTGCATATTGCGCACCTTTGCTAATGCTGTTGCTCTTCTCGGCCGCCTTGTAGGCGCGCATTGCCCTGCCCCGCTTGTCCAGAAGCAACTTGTCGGCACGCACGAAGATGCCATGCTTCGGCTTGCACTGGAAGTACTGTATACCCTGTACGGTGCCATCATTCTTGCCCGTGGGCGTGTCCAGCTCAACGCCGATCCAGGCGCCGGGCTGGAAGTGTGTGGTGCCCACAAAGCTAATCACGCCGCTGGTATTATACGGACGTATAAGCACCGATTCACCCACCACTATCCATTCAGGCAGCGTCACATCCACATCCTTGCCTTCATCTGTTAACAGAGCGTAATAATAAAAGAACGAGTCCGTGTTTTGCTTTCATTTCTATGATACACACCTTCGACCTCT